AATATTCCCTTTTATTTTACAAAAACAACTGTTTTTTAACAATACTATCAGTATTTTATTTAAAAATTGCTTAAATATTATAAATTTTTTATTGTCATAATGTATAATAAATTGGAGCGGTCTTTTAACCTTTTTCATCACATATGTTTTTGTTACTTCAAATCTTCTTTTATTCCCTGTGTAACTCTAATTTTATCTTGATCCCATATTTATAGTTTTCACTTTATCCCTATGCCATAACTTAATTGACTTGGACTCCAGGTAGATATCCATTATTGATTGTGCTTAGCTTTCTTAATAAATTAAACCAAGGCCCATGGCTGGTCAAGGTGAGTGCTATTTATAATAAATGTTAAGTTTTACGCCCCCTGGTGTGGGCATTGTAGAAAATTAGAACCAATTTATTTTGAATTGGCACTAAAAATGAAACAAGAGGAACCTACAGTTAAAGTTGCTCGAATTGACGCAACTATTTATACCGATGTAGCGCGTCATTTTAAGGTTAGGGGTTATCCAACTCTTATGTAGTATGTATTTTGATTCAACTTATGTTTTAGCATAAATGGACAAACTTCCTATGTGCACAAGGGTGATAGAACAGTCTATCGTATAATCGAGTTTGTTAAGCGAGCGCATGGGTAAATTTTGACACCACTCTTCATTCCATCTTGAATTTCTCATCATAACTTGCCAAATTTTAGCCCAGCAGTTAAAAAACTTCTTAATGGTGAACATTTAACCAAAATTAAAAGTGATCGAAATGGGCAATCCTTTTTTGTTTATTTTGGACAGAGTTCTCCATTAAAGGTATTTAGTGGGATTTCTTTTGAATTTTCGTGACTTTATTTTAATCTATAATTACTTATTAGCTTTAACTACACACATTTTAGTCAACATTTTCACGCGCAGCGGAAGAATTCAGAATGCAGTCTTTATTTTTTGAAGCTTCAGATCCATATTTTGTGCCAGAAGTAATGTTATTTAACTCTTTTTTATTTAATTACTTGCGTTCCAGGAGATCATAAGTTTAATTGGCAGTGAGAATACATCTTCGGGAATCATAGTTGTATTCAAAGATGATGGGGCTACTTTATATTCTGGTTCAAGTTAGTACTTAATTTTTGTATTTTTATACCTTTATTGTTTAGTCCTACTAATTGTATACGCTTAGTTGAATTTTATTTACATTAAGCTTTTAACTCTAACTGAATTAGGATATTTAGAATAGTTATGTTAAGATTATTATTTAGGTAATAGGCATCCTTGCTCTTAACTCATTTTGCTATCAACTCGTGTATTATAAAACTGTATTTCTATAGATAAATTTTTCATCTATAGCACTTTAATTTCATGCTGCAATTATTAATTTATTACTTTTGAGGTTATGATATTTTGCCGCCAACCTTTACTTTTGCTTAGATGATCAAACGCCACTTCAGAATTGGCTCGTTCGCGAACGTTTTTCCGCCTTCCCTAGCG